TTATTTTTATTAAATGTATTTTGTTGCATTTAATCATGAATTTAAAGTTTACCATTGATATAAGAAACAAATTTCATGTTAAGTACTGTGCTATCCAACTAAATTGCTCAGTTACTTCAAGCCAACAGCTCAGGGACAGGAATTCATTAAATTAATTTTTATTTCATTTATTTTTATTAAATTAATTTTGTTACATTTAACCATAAATTTAAAGTTTACCATTGATATAAGAAACAAATTTCATGTTTAATATATACATACATATATATATTTTTTGTGCTTTAACTTGGTGCTTCATTTGATTTTAAACAGAGACCAGAGTCCATGTTTCAAATTTAGATTTATTAAGAAGTTATTTTCAAACTAAAAAGGAGGGATGATTGTTCACTTTGTTTGTTTAGTTCTTTACATGGGTGCTATAGATTTGTGTGATTTTTTGGTAAATATTTTTTAAAATTTTTTTTACTGTATCTTGGCAGGTTTTAAAGAATTCATGTGCAAAATAAATTACCTGCCACTTATGATTTTTTTTTGTCCTCCAGACAAACCTGCAGGTTCAGTGACTGAATTTGTATCATCTGATTTATTTAAGGTAAATCCCATGTTTGTGTTCCATAGGTGGATATGAAGTTGATCAAGGTGTCGGTGATACTACGTTTGGTTGGAAGTCGTTGGGGGAAGAGTTGAGGCCCAATGACGTGACAACGGATTTGACTTCTTTTCAGCATGGAATTCGTGCTTTATCTTCTAAGGAAATGAGGAAATCGCAGGGTAAGCTGCTATACACTGTGCCGCTTTTTAAAACACAACTTGACATTAACAACCACTGAACTACTCAGACAGGACCGCAAGTCTTTGTAAGGTTTAGATGGAAACATTTGACATCATTTCCAGAGCCCTACTAGCTTTTTAAAATCTAAGTAATAATAACCATTAAATAACATTAAAGTGCTGGTGTGACTAATAATACAGTTTATGACAATAGCATTTTTATAGAACCTTTAATTCGGTGTAAACTCAGTTATCTTTACAATGAAAAACAAACATCCCATAATTAAATGCACAAACATGGGTCTTAAGACAACAGTACAGCCAACAGAAAATGATTCCTTAAAGAAAACACATTTCTGTGAAAATGCAGTGTGAGCACTGAGTGCTTTGAGGTGGGCCAGACTCTGTAAAACACAAAAAAAATTAGTCACAGATTTGGTATTGCTTTAATTTTAAGGAGTCACTCAAAACCTTTGATAAGAAATCAGATTTGAGCCATCAGTGCTGAGAATAAATATGTGGTTAACTTCTATAGAGCACATTATCATTGTACATGGTATTTTTAAAAGTGGAACCTGCAGGAAAAATGTCTTTAGATGACTTTAATTCCAGATGAGAGGCAGCGTGCTTTGTTAGAGAGCACACTGAGGAGGTTGAGAGGAGAAAACTATCTTTCTTAGTTTGGTTAGTAATTATAACTGGTCGCTTTTTTAGAGTAAAACCTTAATACTGTACTGAATAAGCACTGATTGTGAAAATGAAGGTTTATATTATTCAATACGTTTCTCCAGCTGTGGTGCTTGAAATCAGGGATGTGATCTCTTCAGGGCACGCAGGAGGAAACTACCACAGGCTGTTTTTACTGGTAATGGTAATAAAATTTAAACAAGTATATTTATTTCTTTTGGCAGTCTGTGTTTATCAGCTGAAAGTCACTGTGATACATCAGAACTGACTCCACTGTTAATCTCTCAGGAAATTCTCTCTGGGCCACAATGGCGCTTCATTTATCTGGTTCTTACTAAAACTAAATGCTGTTTTATTATATTTGGCTGTTGGCTATGTAGCTGTTGTAGTCACATGACATTCAGAGTTTTTAATATTTATTTTTTGCAGTTAAATATTATGCCTATGGATGCACGATATATCGGCATTGATATCGGTATCGGCCAATATTGGTCATTTTTAGAATATCGATATCGGTCTGATATGTAAAACTGGGCCGATATTAACGTCCGATATTGACTTCCCACTTTTTATCTTTGTGTTTCTGTTTTGGGAGGGGAGATGGTTGGTTGAGCAGCATCTGTTTGATCATGATAGTGATATTTAAGCTGCACAGCCAGGAATAACTGAAGTAGGGAGCCATGTCAGAGGTCTTGTCATTTATTTACGGTATCAAGAAAAGACACAAGTGTGTTTGTGCAAATATGTATATATATATATAATTTTTATGTTTGTGTAACATCGGTAAATATCGGTTATCGGCCATAACAGCAAAAATTATATTGGATATCGATATCGGCTGAAATTTTCATATCTGTGCATCCCTAATTATGCCTCATCTGATCTTAAAATAATGTTGTATTCCATATTTCAAATTTAGAGCAATTAAGAAGTTGTTTTAAGTGACAATTGTTTTTTTTAATCAGTTCTTTACCCAGCTATCGCTGACTCTTGTTTTTTCTTAAAACAAAATTTTTCTCTTAATTTTTACCTGTGTTTAAGTTTTATTATTCAATTGTATTTTCTCAGAAATTGTTGCTAATTTTAAACCAATAAACCCTACAGGTCTTTCTTGAGCAAAAAAAAAAACCCAACAAAAACCAACAGTACTTTAGTTCTCAGCAGATGTCAGGTGTTAGATATCTTACAGGAAGTTTGTTCCTGGAAATAAACAAGGTGGACTGCACATGATCAGGTTGTCTTTCAGCATGTTTGGGATTGAATTGTACAGTAATTTACAGGTTGAATGTCTTGAAGGAAAGCTAAGCTTGCTAAATGAAAGTAGAAAACATTGTCCTTAAAAAATCGACTGCCTGATTGACTCTTATTGCTGATGGTCGATTTATGAAGTCAAACCTTCTGTAGCATATTTCACCAGTCTCAGCCATGTTGTGCTTCACAAATTGCAAGATAAAATAAAATTAATAGAAAATAGGCTATTCGTTTGACTGTCTTTATAAACGTTGGCTTCTGGGTACAACAGACAGCTTCTGGAAGTGAGTTTTTTTTTTGGAAGCGAGTGGTTGAAGAAAAATGCAGCATCCGGCGCTTTCAGCACAAACAAATCACAGCCACAAACTTCTAACCAATTACACAGTTAGTTCTTAAGTGGAGGGGGGTAAAGGTTTTCCGGATGGGTTGTAAGTCGGGGCAGAAGATTCAAAGGTGCGAACTGAATGATGTGATTTTCATATTGCACAACCTCATCTCAACATTTATACTGCACCCTCAGTAAAAACTCTATACGACTTACAGGTAGCTTTTTTTTTAGTATAATCTTTAGTTGCTTGTGCAGCAAATAATGCACAGTATCGGCTCTTATTAGTTGTACAACATTTCTAAAATACAGTATTTGTTGTACTGTGATGACAAGTAGAAATTCATTGTTTCAAGCTGTAGTGAATGACCCTGCACTGGTTCAGAGAATGAGTGTGTGTGTGTTTGGCTGTGGTTGTTGCAGACAGAGGGATGGCTCACTCAGAGGAGTCTCGACTGGCCAATCTCCTGCGTCGAGTCTCCAGGGAGGATGACCGGGACCGGAGGCTGGCCACCCTAAAACAGCTGAAGGAATTTATCAGCCATGGAGAGAGCAAAGTGGTCAGTTGCATCTTATTCACTATTCAAGTTGAATATACAGCAGCGTGAAAAATACACGTTTCTGTTAAAGAACATTATTGCCTGCCACCAAAATGTGAACGCAGATGATACGTTTAAAACAGTCATCAATAACTTTGAACTCCCCCCAACCTGACGCCCACCCCTCATCAGACAAGTGTGAGTACAAACAAATTATTTAAAAACAAACAAACAAACAAAAAAAAAAACAGAACTAAATATATATTTTTAAAAAACAGCACACTCGGTCTAAAACAATTGGACATCCTTCATCGACATGAAAGGAAGGTACTCCAGCTTATTTCAGATGATTCAACCCTAACCAGCCAGTCTGAATTTTCTCGAGTTTAAAACAAATTATGGACCTCTCTAATCCAGCTCATATTAAGTGGAACTGCAAATTTCCAATTTGTCAGTATCGGCTTCCTGTCCAGCAGAGTTGTGAGTGCAATTAGGTCTTTTTTTTTTAGCAGGAGAGAAATAAAGAGCAAAAACACACACCTCTCTGTTTATATACCTAACCTAAACTTTACAGAGACATTTTTATTCAATAAACATTGAGGAAAAATATGATTCCTAGCTAGCAACGCTCCCGCGTGTTTGCATTGAAACTGAACTCGTATGTTTTGACTGGCAGCCATTATCACTTTCTTAGTGTAACTAGTAGTAGAGTGAACAAACAATGCTACTGGATGAGCAGGATTTACTTCATTTCTTGCTTCATATGAAATTCAGAATAATACCATTAACCTTGCAAAAAAAATCAAAAGTTAAAAATGTCTCTTATAAAGATTACCCATTGTTTCAGCCATGTACACACAAAATACAAAACTTGAATTTAATATTTTGAATGAATCAAAAACTTCAGGATTAGATTTACAACCAGAAATTTCACCAAGTGTGTCCATGACTGCAAGTTGGATAAGAATAGCAGTCGGTTATCAGTTTTTCTTTCTCTCTGCTTTATCAGGATGACTGTCAAGCAATGGACAGAGACACCATTACAGTAGCTACAAGTACTTAATGTCTTTTACAAAGATGTAAGCGGAGGTTTTGAATTCATGACGTTTGTTCTGACAGCTGCCCAAAGGGCCAGCAATGAAACCTCAGAACACCAAAAGTATGTCTGGTTGCATTTGTTTGAACCTAGTAGGATTTGCAAACTGGGGTTTGATTTGACATGAAATGTTTTAAAGGTATTTGACACAAACAATAATTTCACTGTCATAACAGCTTGTACTTTGTCTCAAATAGACCCTGGTCAAACAACTGGACACACTCCTCAGCACCTTGAATGATATTTTGAATGAGAGGTAAGGGTAATCTGAGGTTATATGCTTGTTAAACTGTGACCTTATTCTGGATTCAGATCATACTGAATCATCTTGCATTACTTTCCTCAGTACAGACAGGAAACAGAAAATCTGCTTAAATGAGCAGTAAATGGGTCTAATTAGGAGTTCCATCACAAAATGGGAATTTCCTTAATGGGACTGGGAACATGGAACAGAAAGTAAATATAATTATATAAAAATAACAGAACATTATTATTATTAGTCATTTTGGGTCTGAAAACATAGAAAATTTAAAATGATGAATGTGTTAGATCTCTGATTGTTGTGGTCTTTTTATTTTGACTAAGACCAAACCAACGTTGCAGTAGCCTTTTTATGTGGATTGAATGTTGCAAACTGCAGGCAAATTACTCATCGTATCATTGAAAAGTGCAAAATTCAAAAAGTACAACTTGTATTAATTCATTCCACACTGAGATATATTGTTGTATACTGTTAATTTATTATATTATTTATTATAGTTAATTTTGATGATGATGGCTTATAGCCAATATCAATATTAAATTACTTAATTAAATAATGTGTTATTCACTGATACATACCTGTACACGACACCTATCATTTGGATTGATCTGAATGGTTTATTTAAGCTCAGCTCCTTTGATCTGTACAGTTGTTGCCACTTTAATACCAGATTTTCTAAGAACCAGTGGATTACTGGTCGGTATGGTTTCAGCAGAGTCTAAACTAGAAAACTGGGGAAAAAAATAGTTTCATGAGCACCAGTTTTTACAGAAAGTGTTAAAGAAGCTGTTCTTGTAAAAGTGACCACTGATTGTGTTTTGCCTACTGTGTGTGACAGTTTTTTCCTGTTTCCATTTGTAGCAGTAAGCTGCTGTGGGAGTTGCGTCAGGAGGCAGCAGCCTGTTTAGGTCTGCTCTGCACCGTGCTCAGCTACGAGGCTGAACGCATTTTCAAGTGGCTTTTTCTTAAGTTCAGCTCGAGTGGACGGGATGAGGTCAAACTGCTGTACCTTATGGCTGCGCAGCGAGCTTTGGAGGCTGCTGGAGAGAGGAAGGCCTTCTCTCATATCATGCAGGTAATTTGCACCAGTCTGTCTTTGAAATTTTTGTATGAAACTAAAGATGCCCAGATAAGGAGCAATATCAAGTCCCACTTCCTCAGCTCTGAGTAGTCATTTTTGATTTTGGATGATTCAGATTGTTCTCAATGAACTGTTTTATCAGATTACAGTATGCATGCTTTTTAAATAATTAGCCTTCCTGCTGTTAATAGTCTTTAATTAAACAAGTTTGGAGTAGAAGACACGTCACACCATGTGTGGAAGTGAGTTTAAAGCAGCTCTAGAATAAGAATGATTTTCTTATTTTAGTAAAATAAAGACAGAATGATCACTGAGCTGTCATTTTAACTGTATATAACATCAATATTTCCTTATCAGTATAACTTAACTAGCACACAGCCAACTTTAAGCTAATAAAAATAGTGTCCAGTGCTCATCTCAAACCGACTGCATGGTGCAACTCCACCAAAAATGCCATCTAGATCAGGGGTGTCAAACTCATTTTCACCGAGGGCCACATGAGAGTTATGGTGGCCCTCGAAGGGCCAGTTGTAATG